TATACCACACTTACTGCGTGTAAGCATGGGATGATTGTTGGTAACAGGAACAACTTCAACCGAAGACTCAACTGAGGCTTCATTGACAGGCTGCATATCGACATTGTTCTCAGCACTACTACTTGAATCAGCACTTGAGAAGGAACCTTCAGCAGGCAGCAAGAGAACATTATCACTATCGGGCAGATCGGCCCCCGCCACCAAGGAGTCGTGACTATCTTCACTTAACACAGCATCTACATGCGAAGTGTCACTAACAGACGCATGCTGTGGCAGTTTTTCTTGAAGACATGGCTTGTGATGCTTAGCAATAATCTCAAGAGCTGCTGATCTCGATGAAGGCTGAGTGTGACAGCATGTAGTAGTTTTTTTTCTGCAAAAGGGAAAACAAACTCATCAAATTTAACATGCCTGCTAATAAACACTCGACCATTGGGGTCAATGCACTGAAAGCCTCGATGTTGAGTGCTATAACCCAAGAACGTGCATTCTCTGGATCGTGGCATCAACTTATGCGGTTGAAACGCTCGTAAGTGTGGGAAACACCTACAACCGAACACACGTAGCAATTTATAGTCTGGTTTCCTATCGAATAGCTTCTCAAATGGTGACACGTTGCCGAGCACTTTGGTGGGCAATCTGTTCACAAGATGAGCTGCAGTAGCTACTGCATATGACCAAAAATGTACTGGAAGGGAGGCTTGAGCTAACAACACAAGCGTCATCTCTACTAAGTGTCGATGCTTACGTTCTACTACCCCATTTTGCTCAGACGTGTGAGGACACGTGACCCTATGTAAAACTCCTTCTTGGTTTAATTCATTCGCCCAGTTTCTGTACTCCCCTCCCCAGTCGCTTTGCACAGCTTTTATAGGTAGAGAGAATTGTGTCTTAACCATCCTTTGGAACATTTGAAAAGCTACAAGTGCCTGTGACTTGTCCTTCAAAAAATAAACCCATGTATATCTTGTACACGCATCTACAAACGAAATGTAATATCTATTTCCAGCCGAGAGCTCAGGTGCAGGGCCCCAGAGATCAGAGAAAACAAGCTGGAATGGAACATCATATATAGTATCGGACTCAGTAAAGGGTAACTTGTGACTTTTACCCAAACAACAAGCACACACGTTTGATTTGCATTATTCGAAATATCAACAGCAATTGACTTACAAACAGTCTTTAAAACAGGAAGAGCTGGGTGTCCTAACCTCCTATGCCACAGATCAAGTGCATTACAAGAGACATCCACCGAAAACACCTTTGGTTTATTACAAGTACTCAAACTATTATTATCCAACGCAAATGTATAAAGACCACCTTGCTGATTCCCTCGTAGTATAACTTCACCTGATGCCTCATCACGAATGCAGCATTCACCCGCATGAAACTCAAAGAACACGTGATTGTCCCTAGCAAGCTTTGACACCGAAATGAGATGTTTAGTAATTTGAGGCACATGTAATAATTCTGTGAGCAACAAAGCTCGTGAGGATGACGCTGAATGTAATAAGGATTTACCAACCGTATTTACACTAAGGGAAACTCCATTTCCAACCAATAAGTTACCTGGACCATCAAGATCAGTGATATGAGCTATGTTGGATGCATCCGGGGTCACGTGATGTGTAGCCCCCGAATCAGCCACCCACTGAGCACGATGAGACGCAGCAACATTAGCTTGGGGAGCACCACCAGCTTGCACCGAAGCAGCACAATGTTTATTGGTACAACATGCACAACTAACATTGTCAAGGCTCACATAGTTGACACTGCTGGATTCATCCTTAGCTTTCGACTGAGCATTATTCGCTAGGACACCAACAAAATCACGATCAAACCGATACCAGCATCTGTCAACCGAGTGACCATTCTTGCCACATAATTGACACTGCAGGCGGGCTCGACCTCTACCACCAGACCGTCCTCCACGCATTGAGACAAACTGCTGTGGTTTGTAGCCATGAGTATTATCCGAAGCAGTATTAGTGACATGAGTTTGACCTTGCACAACGTTGGCACTCATCGGGAAATTCTCAGCATGAGAATCAAATCCAGCTAATTGAGTCTCGGCATCAATAAGCATGGAATAGATCCGATCCAGAGTAAGCAAATCTGGACTCGTGGTAATTACAGCCATAAAAGATTGATATTCTCTTGGCAAGCCTTTTAAAACACTCACAACGTGCTCAACTTGCGACACCGGGCTGCCACACGACTCGAGAGCATCACAAATCTCCTTGATGCGTGTGAGATACACGCATGGAGTCATCACCTTTCCTCAACGACTGCAGCTTGTAGTGTAAATTCATGACTGTTGTTGTCGAGCGGTTGGCAAAAAACTGCACCACAGTACGCCAAACAGCCGCTGCGGAATCAGCTCCTACAAACTGAGGTAGAAGCGGAGCGCTGATCGTGGATAAGAGCCACGAGGCAAGAGCACTGTCTTGTGCCATGAAGTCTTCAAACGCTTCATTGACACTAGATATCCCATTCTCATCAACAACAAATTCAGGTGGCACAGTCATCGTACCATTAAGGAGCCGTTCGAGCCGATGACTACGAACCGTGAAGAGAACCTGCTGCTTCCAGAGAAGAAAATTGGTTTCGTCCAAAACAACATTCACTTTCTTATTTGTAAACATGGCGAATCAAGCAGGAAGCAACACTTTAGTAATTGGCGTCAGAGAGCACAGCAGAGAAGAAGCCCAGAATGTTTGGCGAAAGATACCATATTAGAAACTCAACATAAGATGTAAACTTGCAGTATATTATTCATGCTTTACACAGCTGAGCAAGGCTGCATTTATAGCTACAAGAGTAAGAAAACCCGCCTAACTGACTAACAGACTAACAGTCTGAGGTTTTGCTCACATACACTCGAGAGCACATTGATTATGTGCACTCTTTACACATGATCTCTCACACAGAGAAGAATTATAGAAGTTCGGGATGATAGTCTCATGGTGTTCACAAGTGGAAGTTTTGTCTCATCTATCGTTGGGTTGCTTCGTGACTCATTGCTGGTGGAGCTCGACGTTGGAGAGCTTGGTCGTCATCGTGCCGACAGTGGCGTTCCCTCAGTGTTCCGATCAAGCGAAGAATGCGAAGCTCATTTAAGATGTGCGGGGGACGGAGGTTTGTTTTAGTTAATTTCTTATTTCCAGAAATTATTTTTTAATACTAAAAGTATACTGAACTTAATGGTTCGTTACAATATAAATTATTTTGAGTCATAAAATTAAATGTTAGATATCAAACTAAAACGAAATAAATTTTAGTAGTTAAACTAGAAATGCAGACACAAGTTGGACACTTTCTGCATAAAAAAAAACTAATTTCTTCCCCTCCCCTCATCCCCCTCGCTCCCGTCCCCCTGCAATCCCCCCCCCTTCCTCCTGCTGCCTCCCCCTTCCATTTTAAAGAGACAAAAACAACCCCTCTGATTCACTCAAGAAATAAAATAAGATTGTACTGTAAGAGATGAAAGCTTTGAATTTTTTTGCAGGTTTTTAGAACTGGATTTGGTTTAATTTAGAGAGAAACTAAAAACATAAATCACTTGATGAAGAAATTAGATAGGAAAACGGCCACCATAGCTTACCTTTTGAAGATCTTAAAAAGTTAAAAGTGAAGACTTTTTCTCTCTAGAGTTAGAGAACAAGAACAAACAAAGTGATCCCACATCAAACAAAAGCTTTTGTTTTAATGATGATAAAAAAAATGGTTTTATATTTTCAATTTAATGGAAGGGGGAGGCAGCGTGGGAGTGAGGGGGACGGAGGGAAATTAAAAAATATACAAATGACATTTAATTGCTGGAATATTTGAACTTAGGATACTTTAGAATCGAAATGAAATGAATCTATATAATCAAATTAAAAAATTATTAAATTTAAAACAATAGGGATTAGAAACATATAGTTATAACTCCTAAATGAAAAGACGCCATAGAATTTTCGTGCTTGTGCAGCAACGGGGTTTTGGAGATGCAAAAGCAATGAAAGTGATTTACCTTTCTGCATGAGGAAGTTGATGGGTGATGATCCCACATGTTTTCATGTTTTTCTTCATTTTTCTCTTCTATAACTGAAGTGATGCAAAGATCAAACTAATACTCAATCAAACTTATAAATTTAACGGTTGAATAATGTACATTGAAGTGAAAAAACTGAGGCTCGAGTTAAATTAGGATTTGGAAAAATACAATCACATTTTTTTAATTTTTCAAAGAGCAAAATTAGAAACGGTACAAGTTCTTTTAAAAAAACAATATAAAGTCAACCTCGTCTTCAGAAAATTTCAATTTTGAGTGACTTGAAACTATAACAATCTAAAATTTAAGATGAATAAAACCAAGTAATTTCAAAAAAAAGCCTTAGTTTGCAAGTACATATCCATTTCATGCTTCAAAATGACCATAATATCAGTCATCAGATGATCCAAGCTTTAACAGTCATCAGATGATCCAAGTTTTAACACCCTCAAAATTTCATGCATATTATAGTAGTAAAATGGTAGCCTCACTTGGATTCATGGAATTTTAGCACATGATACTAAAATTTGAAACCGCAAACAAATCATAAATGAACAAGATCTGGGGTGGTATAGACATAGTAACCTCACCTATAGATAGGTCTAACCAGGGGTTTAACCATGGTTGGAGCCCATCAATCGCTATTTCATAAAGGGTTCTCAACCATGAATCTTTAAATTGATACAAGCAATATAATGGGCAAATTGGATAACACATTCAACTGCAAATGTATATCAAAACTCCTACAGATTATTCAAGTACAACTCGGTCAACAACCTAATGGCAGTTTCAGGCATTTCCCAATTGTCATCCATGGATGATGCATTGAAATGTTATATGAACGTATTATACAGAATGACAGCATTGTGATATAGGAAGTTAGATGCATCTCAACCATAGTAAAGTGCAGTGAAGAAGCAAAGAGGATGAACTCACAGTTCTCTGCGCATCTTCACATTAACCTTCATTTCCTTGTAGGATTGGACCTTCTCAGCTGCTCGGCGCAAAGGCCTGCCCGTAGATGCCGCCTAAGTTCTTGAGCTTCGTTTCCAGGGATCATACATTCTTCATCAGGTTCTTTTTGACTGATGAATCAGATGATATCAGGCCACTTAAATGCACGTCATCATCACCACGAGAGGGAACAAAAAATTTGTATTATCTACCATGAAAACATCTTCAGTCATTTCCGACTCTTGTGGTTTAAATCTTGCAGATTGCCTTCTTAAACAAACCCTGCTGGGTAAACATAAAGATATCTTTAAAACCTAAACATAACTGTTTTCTCAAAACAGAAAGCAATAAAATTATACAGAAAACCTTTTGTTCTCGACTCCCTCCTTGGCTTCGACTGGTTTAATATTAGAAGGGCCTGAAGCAGCACGTAAATAATAAGTGAGATTGTGCTCTGAACAACATTAATTACTTCGAAATAAAGTTCCAGAGATGCAAGTTACATAGACTCTTTGATTGCCGCCTCCTGTTCGTGTTACAAGATTTATTCTCTCCTTTTGCTTCTTTAAGAGATTCACCTTCCTTGCCAAACCTTCTCCTACAACAAGGTTCATAGTCTCTATCTTCTTCTTTAAGGGATTCACCTGCCCGCCATATTGTTTGTTCCTTCCTTCAAATCATGGAAAAGCGTTCGTAAATAACATGGGATGTTGATAAGAGAAAAATCAATACATATTTTGCAAATGATTTTGTTGATATGAAAGTCAATCCAGATCGGTAAATACCTCATTTCCAGATGTAGGGCAAGCCACAATCTTGGCTTTCTTCTGATGACAGAAACAAGGTATTTAGTTAATAAACATAATGAAATAATAAACCTGACTACCATGCACCTATTGCAGGCGTACTTCAGCTGAGGCATGTTCAAATAGTAACAAGCTAGAGCTCAACTTGAAATTCTAAGTCTTAAAACTCGACTTAAGTTCGATCACCTTGAACTTGATTATTTGTACCTGAACTCGAGCTAACTTCAAATTGATTTTTTAGTACTAAATAAATTAATAAAAATATATTAAAAAAATCATGCTCCCTCTGTCCCAATTAAAATACCACAACTTTTATCGGTCATTTTGGAAAAACTTTAACTTAATTATTTATAAATTTTAATTAATTAATTTTAAAAAATACATACTTGAAAACTACTTCATTGAAAAAAAATTAAAATATTTTCCCAAATTTTATCGATAACAAATTTTAAATAATAATAAGTTAAATTTTTAAAAAAATACAACCAAAAGTCATAATGTGACAACTTTATTGGGATGGATGGGGTAACCAACGGACTTGTAAATCACTCAATTCAAGCATGAGGATACTCGAATTTTGCTTGCTAAAATAGTCAAACTCTGCATTAATGACCAAGTTAAATTCGTTTATTTTTCCTGCACAGAAGTTAAGAAGCTTTCGAGAATATGTATCTCATTTGCAACCTACACTCGGCCAAGTAGACCGTTGCAAAAAGATACCTCTGATTTTATTGCTTGAAGCACAGCATTTTTACATCCCAGTTCATGTTTAAGGGCTTTTAGCTGAAAAGGAAAAAAAAGTCGAAGGTCAAGTCTCAAAAGCATACAACAAAAAGGGCTGAGCATGAACAAGTTCAAGAAACATAGATGTCCAGAATATATACCTATCTTTCCCTGAATTAAGTTCCTGCAAAACCAATATAATACATCGACCTCATTAGCAAGTCATAATATCAGAAAAAGTCAAATGCCTCTTAGATTTACTAAACTGAGAAACAGACAATTAGAAGCGGTATTAATCTACCGATAACATTTGGCTGTTTGCTTGGGCAAGTTGCAAGTTCTGTTGCTGAAACTCTCCAAATTGATTCTTAGTTTCTGTAACTCAATTGCACTCAATTCGATGACTTTACTATAGACCAAAATTAAGAAAAACCAATAAGAAAGTCATACAAGAGACAATTACATCAAGCAATGGTCGGAGGCAGAAATGAAAGAAAACAAATAAAACAAATCAAAGAGGATACTTTCGGTCTGCAAGAACTTCATCAACATCATATTTTCCTGGAAGAAAGAATAAACCCTTCAGTAGGCTAAAGGAACAAAACAAGAATTGAATGGAAAAAAGATAACCTAAGGGGGAAAAGTGCGCTAATTGCAGTTTTAAAGTGTACCTGTTGGAGTTTTTCGATGTAATCTTTACTACTGAGTGAAGCCGGTTGCTGCCGCAGCTTTTCATCTAAGGTCAACACTTGAGGTTGATGCTGCAAGTTGGTTATGTCGCTGAGCCCTTTCCTTGGTACATTATGATCAATATCTGTTTTCCATAGATTTCCCTTCCAGCTCATTACCTAAAACCCAAACAAATAAGTCATTCAACAGATATAGGCCTATTAAAAAACTCAATTCTGTACGACTCTAACTTTCATTTTCGTTGATACATCAATTTGCGATCATATCCATACATAGCTGTGAGGATATGACCTTCCAAGGTTCCTACAATTATATGAAAAAACTTTTGTGGGGGGGGGGGGGGCTAAACATTACTGTGTCAAACACATGCCAGTATCCAACATTCACACGAGTGCGAGTAACACAGACCCAATGTTTCATTGTAAATTAAAAATGAAAAACAAAAATCCCTAAATCTAAACAAACTCAGAGAAAAAACTAAAGCAAACAGATGAGTTAACAGCAACATAGATTTGAACTTTCCAGCATTTCTCAATAATCTGAATAAACGAATAAAGAGATCTTATCTCACAACCAATTCACGAACCCCGACCCCAATGCTAACATGAAATTTATAGAAAACAAATTCTTAACCTCTAAACCAACTCAGGGAAATCTAATTAAACAGCTGCATTAACGGAAAACTGACTGAATTCCACTTCTCCACCAAGCAAAAATAAATAAATGATTAAGAGGACCTAACCTCACTGTCATTTTAAAAAAACTTAATGCAAAAATGTAATTTACAAAATAAAAAATAAAGAAGAAACCCTAATCAGTAATCAATTTTACAACATGCAGGTAAATACATTCTAGAACTAGGGTTCGTAGCTCAACCTAAATCATGAAAACATGCGATTCGCAATTCGAATCCCCCATATTAGAATTAGAAAATTTCAAAGAAAGTAACAAGAAAGGATTCGAACGAATTGGTGAAAAAAAACCATTTTGGGAGAAAGAATACAGAAATTTGTGGAAAAAAAATAATCCAACGAAATGAGGGGTGAGAGAAATTCAAGAAACAAAGAAGGAATCGAATACCTGAAACGAAGCTGGTTTCTGCGCCGAGAATCGTAAGACAACAAAGAGCCGTATTACTTCTCACCTTTTGAATATGGGAGCGAAACCGGGAAATGACATGTAAAGGACAAAACAGTATTACTATCCAGATTCAGACAACTCAGAGTTGGAAGCTCTCTCCCAGGCTAAAAGCCGCTCTAAAATTCAAATGGTATATATAAAGTTCCAAACCTTATAGTAGGATTATTAGTATGTTAAATTCTGGCCTGGTGTCTAAATTACATTTAAATTAATTTTAGTGTTAAAATTTTATTTATTAAAAATAAATATTTAAAAAAAATCGTTATACTTTAGATATCTACCATTAAAAAATTTATTAAATGTTACAAATATATTAAAAGTGTAACAAAAATGTTAAGTATATAGTTTTAATAAAAATTTCTTTACGTACTAAAAAGTTAACTTTGAATAAATTAAAAACTTATTTATATTAAATCTTAAATTTTGAATACATATAAAATATTATAAATACAATTCTATCACGAAAATATATAATTATATAGTGTTGGATACAAGGCTCTAATAAAAGTAAAGAAGGATAACTCTATAAGATCTAAATAAACTGTAAACGTATTAAATCATCTTTTAACATTCAATCGTTACTTGTTAAAGGGTTAACTAAAATTTCCGTAAAGAGATGAATTTCACTCAACTAAATTTATCGTCTAAAACATAAATAGGCATTTTAAATCGAAGTTATCAAGAAGCATTAATAGTAAAAGAGAAAGTTGTTCTCCCGGTGATCTTTGATTTAAGCAGCTGCGTCTGAAAATATGTTTTCAACAGATTAAGAAAGTTTTGAATAATCAATCATATTATTAAAAAGGCTTAATACACTTTAGGTGCCTAAACTATATTTCAAATTGACTTTTGATCCTAAATAATTTTTCGTTAAAAATAAGTACTTAATGTTTTCACCGTTATATTTAGATGTGTACCGTTAAAAAAAAACCTTAAGTGACACGTGTCACATTTAAAGGTCATAAAACATATAATCAATGTTAGAGCTTGTTAGATTTGAACGAGGCTTGAGAAAACAACTGAAGTTTTTAATTTCACAAAACCATAAACATTGAGAGTTTGATTGACATCATTTAAATAATAAATGATCTAATTATAAGAATTAAATATCGATGATCAAATTAAAATCTTCTCACAGCTAAAAGGCTATGAGTATAATTTATCAATAGAAACTATACGTATAGATTCTTTAACGGACCCATAGTTGGGGCCCATCGCAAGTCAACAAATTTTGCAATTGGATTGTATAATATCAACTTGATCGTATGGGTCCCCTACTTTTTTTTTTCTTTTTTACAAAAAAATACCTTTCTTTGTTTTACATTCTAGACCTATTACCTACGTGGAATTTTCATTTAAATCATATCACCTCTTTCTTTGGCAAAACTTCCACGTTAATGCAAATGAGAATGTTTAATTTTCAAAACAATGTTGTAATGCTATTATTTCCTCAAATGGGGTGTTTGCTACAGTTAAGTTTAATTTCCCGACGTCTTCAGCAAATGAGTCTTTGCATGGAAGCTGGAGCTCTCGGTGTTTTTGCATGGAGTTGAAACTCTCGGCGTCTTCAA